AGCAGAAGAACAGCTATCAGCTGCACCTGATGCTTATCTAGAGCTATGTGAGCAAATATCAAGGGCCTGAGAACAACCAAAACATCATGGAAGAGCAGCTTCTGGGGCTGTAGAGACCTGTGCCCTAACCACCCAGAAAAGACCTTCTTTGGGGAAAGGGCCATGTGAGCACTCTCTGTTCTTGCAGACTAGAGCTATGGTGGAGCTTAGATCAGGAGTAGAGAGAACACTTATTCTGCTTCAGTGAGTTCCTAAATTCCTAGAAACTCTCCATGGAGGGTCTCTATAGCTATGAGGGACTCTGAACTGTAACTTGGCCCTCAGACTCTTGGATGAAGAGGAGCAAAAGCTTAGAAAGTGAAGTTGCAGATTAATGTTAGTGATGGTTTTCAGAGCTATGAACTCTCCAGAAAATAGCTTCAGAATTATGATTCATATATCCAATATAGACAGTGTATTTGATGCTAAAATCTTTTACAAATTCATTTTAATAGCTTTCATTTATAATTAAAATCTTGATGGAATTCATATCTTGGCGAAAGTAGGTTTTTAAAAGCTAAGACTCTAGAATTTTTCTCTTTGAATATAATTTAACCTTAAGTATAAGAAAAAAAAATCCCAGCCTCAAAAAAAATACCTCTTTGCTAACTGCTACTTTCTATATTCATGTACTTGAGATGATTCCAATGCAGTAAGTATACCTGTAGTCTGCTTAGTGTGGCAGGAGATCATTAAAGACAATTTAGAAATAAGAGGATGTTGATAAGATGATTTGTCACTCCTGTATTGTAAAATCTGCGCAATTACTTTGAATATTTGCTGTACATGTGTAATGATCAGCAAATCCTATGGAGTCCATTATTGTCTCCAACTTTACTTATATTTTCCTTAATCTCGTGAAGAAGATCATCAACATGATTCTTAGCAAGTGTGACAATTTTGAGGTAGTTACAACGAAAATGGTAAATTTCCTAAATTGAAAGTGCTTCCTTGTGATACAAGGACAATGGTTAAGAAATAAAACTTTAAGACAGACTCATGAAAGCAGCTTAGAATATGAGTAATTACATTTGAACTAAAATCTTCACTGATCAAAAAGACAAGCAAGGGTTCCTAAATATCTTCCCGTGTAGTATACATTCTAGTTAGAAAGATAAGTCATGCATACTTGGATAAGAAGGCAAGAGAATTACATTTGTTGACCACCTGCTATGTTCTAGGCTATAGTAGTACAAGTACATAATTTAATCTTGCAGAGGTCTTATGAGGTGGTTGTCAAAAATCTGAATTTACAAGGGAGGAACCTGAGATCAAATAGGTCACAGAGCAAGTGAATTGCAACTCTGGGATCTGAAACTGAGTCCACCTAACTTCAAAACTGGCTCTCTGAGAAAATCCTATATGCGTGAGTATGTGATGATGTAGAATGCACTATCATCACATCATGTATCCAGCATCACCAAAGAACATGATGTTCTATACAATATGAGGTATTCAATATAATTGAATCCTACTGCCAATGCCAATTTCTTTGGCATTTGAATCTGATTTCAAGTGGGAAATCAGAAGTTATGTTCATGAAAATTGTCTATTAATATTATGAATGAGAATCTAAAAGACTGACAAAACATAGATTGAGTAAATTTTATTTACTGTTATTTCTATCTTAGTCCTGGATAGCTGGAGTTGTCAGATAGGTTTCAAACTACTATAAAATTTCTGAGGAAATAAAAAAAAAGAGGAAATAGTTTTCTATGAGTGGAACTAGTTGATGATTCACAGAGCCTGCTCAAACTTTGATCTGGTTCTTATTTTTAGGTGTGAAGATGAAAGTGTTCCAAATCTCTTACTGGTCCAATAAATATTTTGTTTACAAAATACCTGAAACTGCAAACGTGCAGGTGGTGGGGAGGGCAAACAAGAACATTGAAACAAAATAGGAAAGAGCATGGAAAATGTAATGCTCATCTTTGATACATCACTGCTTCTGATTTTATTCTCCCAATCATCTTCTGAGGTTTTTAGCCACAAATGTCACAAAACTCATAAAGTTGTGCAGCTCTGTTAAAGCCAGGCTTGGTTCAGTTGCCTTCCAAAGCAAAATCTAGACACTGACAACACACACTAAGTAAAGTAGTATTTCCTCTCACTTATTCTAAATATACCTCCTGTTAATTTCATTGCAAATCTCTTCCCCATTGTCAAGAAAATAGAGAACATCCAGATTTCATAAAAGTAATTAAATCAAGTCTAGATTTTTCTCTTTTCTTTTCCAGGGTACCATGGAGTTTTATAATCTCTTTTAGTAATTACTCTTCTCTGGTACCAATTGACTGTTGGGCTTCTTACTACCTGTAAAACAAGTGGCACACCACTATTCCAGGGAGGACAGGAAATTAACCACAAAGACTATGAAACTAGCTGACATCATGAAGTTCTTAAAGGAAGGGTAATGTGTGTTTATCTTGATATGTCCACAGTGTCAAACACCACATCTCTCTCATGGTAGGGCAAGGTGGGGAGCTGAAATATAGTACATATCTACATGTGTCAGACTCTACCAATATGCCATTAGACACATCTCTACAATTTTCCTATATTGATATCTTAATTTCTGTTAATGGGGAAACTGAATGAGTTGCCTAAGATCAAACACTTGGTAAACAGCAGAACTGAGATTTGAATTCATGTCTATCAGGAGCTCCTGGGTGGGCTCAATCAGTTGAGCCACTGACTTCGCTCAGGTCATGATCTCATAGTCCATGAGTTTGAGCCCTGTGTTGGGCTCTATGCTGACGGTTCAGAGCCTGGAGCCTGCTTCGGATTCTGTACCCTTCTCTCTCTGCCCCTTCCCTTCATGCTCTCTCTGTCTCTCTCTCTCTCAAAAATAAAATTTAAAAAAATCTTAAAAAAATTGAATTCACATTTGTTTGATTTTTTTGTTTCACCATGTGATTCCCTGACTACACTTGGTAACCCAGTACATAGTCATGGAATGTATTTTCATGGGGTTGTCACCTCTCTAGTTCTATCTAGCCTCAAGAGGGAAAAGCCTGCAGCCCAGTAAAGTTGTAATTCACAAATGACCTAAAGGGCAACTGGAATGCCACATGGTACAATCACTCAGTGTATAATTAATATGTAATTAAAAGGCAAAAATTAAGGCACATACAGAACCAGTCTTTGTTAATAGTAATGAATCCTTGAGGACTAAGTCTCTACTTTCATTTTCATTATCACTGTAGAAAAATAATAAATAAAGGCAGGGTGTAGGATGGTGGTATGAACAGTAGAAAGAGGAGAGTTAGGGGTAATAATCTGTGGATTTGTTTACTACTAAAGTACCCTTAAAAGGCAGCTTTGCCTGAGTGGCATTTTTAATTAACACTTACCCTTATTATAGCATTAATCTTTCATTATAATCATGTTTATTTTTTATAATTCTAATACTGTTTGAAGAATTTTAGAGCATTAATGTTCAATGTCACCTAAATCTTCCAATACAGAAGCACTATGTCTCTGCCTGAACATTCTCAGTATCAGGGAATTTCCTATTGGTAAAAAAAAAATAAATTCTTAACTTCATATCAATTAAAAATCTGTATTCCTATACTTTCTTCAAATTATTTTGTAAGCATGTCTGAAAGAACTATGTGGCAACATATATTCCTAGGCTAGTTCTTTGGATACTAGAAAAATCCTCAATGTTTATCAGCCTTTCTGTGTGAGAGACCTGGCTATACATGCTATCCCAGAGCTAATGTCATATTTGTGTCATTAGACATATGCACATAATTTTGTTATGTTTTTCATAATTTTTCAGTTTTTAAAATCTAAAACAAATATGCATTTCAGAAAAAAAATTGTCCAAACTTTTAAAACAATTATCACTTAATTAACATGGGGTCCAGCCATATTGGAATAATTTCTTACCTGTCCCAGCATAGAAGAAATGAGTAAGGTGTTCATCTAGGCCTGAATATTCCCTTCAGTGGCTGCAACCCCAAATTTCAATGTTACTATTTATCCACCCAGGCCCAGTGCATCATATGAGAGCCATTTTCCAACTTTCTTGTGCTTAAGAGTCACTAGGGATACTGTTTAAAAGGCCCTGGTGACCAAAGGGCTACAAAATCCCATAGCTGTTTATCCTATGCTATATCTGGACTTCTCTCTTACAGATCTTAATCCTATTATCTCTACAAAACCATCAACTATCACTACTAACTTAAACATGAGTTCTTCTAGAACTTAGCAATCACTTGTTTTAACTCCAAATTTTATAGACCTGTATAATAATCTACAGTTATACCACTACTTAACGGCTGGCTAGAAATGAAGCCAGTTCTTTTGACTCTATCCAGAATAGTAGATTCTTTAGCATGAATTTGACTGTTATTTTTAGGTTTAGCTGTCTCGTATTTGACATCATCCATCAGTATGAAGGAAAAAGTCTTCAAAGAAAGTTTCAAATGGAATTCCACTCTGAGCTTTAGTTATAAAGAAGAAAATAATACTTCGCAAGGGCAATATGTTAAACAGCGATTGCAAAACTGTGAAACATTCTGCTAGGTATTCTGGGATACATGAAGATAAGTAACACCTAGCTCTTGCCATACTGGAGCTTGTAACTTGGGGGTAAGTTGTTAATCACTTTGGCCAGAATGAATGGGACATTTCACTGAATGGGAAATCGTAGTGTATTAAGTCATCATACTCTATAACACTTTGAAGTGCTGCATACTTAGCTCTACACAAAGTTGAAACTCCATTAACGTTAACTGCCATAGCACCTGGGGAAAAAAATCTCTCAAGTTGCTAAATCATCACACTTACAACTCATATTTAGAGGTCATGGCTGTTTGATTTGAGTGTAAGGAAATAATCTGTAGATGCTATCATTATAATAAAACATGGAATTATCTAAAGATTCCTACATTTTCTAGCTAATTCTTGAGCACATTTATTAATTACAATGTAGAAGATAAAGGTTTCCTTACTTGTGGTCTCACCATTCATTTCCTCAAGTTCACTGTTAATTCCAACATCTATGGAATTCATTATTTTGTCAATCTGTGAGAAACAAAAGCCATATAAATAAATTATCAATTCACTTTTAGCATCACATTTTAAAATAATTTCCAAACTCCAGAAGCATACATTCTTGATATTATTACCTTTGCAATACCACAATTAAGAGTCTGGCTGAGAAAGGTTTAAAAGGAAGCAGACAATTTTTGAATTGCTTTTAAAAATATAAATTATGCTTCCCTTCCTTAAACTTTCAAAATCAGACTGCCTTTTCTTTATATTTCCTAAAATGAACTTTGGACTTTCGTGGGTCCGTAAGTTAGGAACTGTGTATTCTTTAAACTCAGAAAGTGATGGGGCTAAGGGATAAGTTCATGTGAAGATGTTCATTCTGCCAGGCATTCTTCCTCTTCCATCTGAGAGCATGCATGTCTTTTGACTGGTGAAAGGGTGGGTTTCATCTGTGGGTATGGCCATTGGAACCAAATGGCTTGACCAGCCACAAGCTTAATTTGTGGCATGGCATGCATTCACAAGAATCCAATTGTAGAAACACCTTAATTCTAAGAGATAAGTTCAATGTTAATTAATTCTGCTTCATTGCAGAAATGATTTCAGATGTTATTCACGGAATTAATAAATATAAGAAATGGGGAGACTTGAATAAACTATCAGTCAAGTAGGAACAGTATTTATAGGCAGATATGACTAAGTTTTAGTCATTTATGGTTTAATCCCACTCCTCATTATCCTAGCAACGTGTGTTAAGACAGCAGGTTTCAGAAAGGGCAATAAGCATTACTTAAGTGCCCTATTTTGTTCACCCTGAAACAGATGCAGAGAAATTAAGTGATTTTCCCAAATAGCTCAATTCAGAATGTCAATATCAGACATCTCTAGGTTTCAGGTTTCGGAATACTAGAGTGACCTATTGTGCTTCAAAACCCAACCCAACTGGCGCAGTCTTTTGAGAGAAAAAAATGTGAAACATTAGAGTGAAAGGCTAAGTGGGAATGTGGTCCATTCTCTGAAGAAATTCAAGAAAAGGCAAGGAACTTCATTATTTTATGATGTAGTCCTCCTTAGGGACAAAGGATGATATTTCATAACCTTTCAAGGGCACTTACTTTCTGAGTAATTCTATAAAATGGAAGACTTTGTCTTTAAGTACAGTTTGAATTTTTTTTTTAAATGTTTGTATTTATTTTTGAGACAGAGAGAGACAAAGCATGAACGGGGGAGGGTCAGAGAGAGGGAGACACAGAATCTGAAGCAGGCTGCAGGCTCTAAGCTGTCAGCACAGAGCCTGATGTGGGGCTCGAAATCACCAACTGTGAGATCATGACCTGAGCCGAAGTCGGACGCTTAACCGACTGAGCCACCCAGGCTCCCCTAAGTAGAGTTTAAATTAGTGATACTCGATCTCAACATCTTTTTCCTTAATCTCTCTGGTAGCTGTAAAAGGGAAATATTAAGTAATTTGGGTTTGTTGTATGGAACTTGGGGAAGAGCCAGAACTATTCCGTTTACCATTAAGGTTAAGATTATAAGGAGCTCTTCTGAAAATATAAGATACTTTAAAGAAGGGAGATGAGCTAACAAAGAATTTAGTAAGTAGCAAAATGATACAGAACATCAGAAATACAAAGACTTCTCAATTTGTCAGCTGCAGTGCTTGGTAGGACATACTGTGAACATTCTCTTGTACCTCACAGCTAGTTATTACTTCTGCTTGATATCAATTTCTATGGAAACAATAGATTTCTCCACATGTGTGGAATTGTGTTTGTTTTTACACTAGCTGCAAAATTATCATGTATAACCCCTAGAACCTTGCCCTTCTACTTGGAACTGTATTCATCTGCTTTTTTTTTTTTTTTTTTTTTTTTTTTTTTTTGCCTCTGAAAGACTTAAAACTTAAAACCCTTCCCCCAAACCTCCTTTGACTCCAAAGCTTTATATAAAGAACAACAAGAACAAGTCTTACTTCTTCCCATTCAGAAGTGAAGGATGGTGTTCTTTCAGAATTCCCTTTAGAAGTATGTTCAGCAGGTGAAGATTCACTCCAGTTAACTCTTGGTGTTTTCTCATTTGAAGGGTATGCAATGAGATCAGAATCCGATTTAGAGACATTTTTTGATAAATGCATGTCAATCAGGGCTTTTGGCAATGATCTTATTCTCCCCAGGGTACAGGCTCTTTCCACAAATCCTCCCGTGTTCACAATCCACTGGTCTCCATTCCGGGATCCACTTCTAGTTGTTCTGGTGCCAACAATAGTATGGTTTTCAAGTTGGTTGCTTTTTTTGTGAAAAATTGTTCTACTGACCACTTTGGGTTTAATTTTCTTTACCAAAGGTTCTGAGTTATTTGCTATTGGAGATTTCTTGAAAGGCAAAGGACTGTTTGCTGAACTGACTTCATCTTGTCCTTCTTCACGTTCATCTCTTTTCCCATAGAGATGAAATGGATTTTCAGGGGACTCGCAGGCTGGAGAGGATCCATGGAGAAGGCCTGCAAATTGCCCAGGATCATATTCTTTTGGAGGATCGCTATCCTCCTGTTGAGAAGGGTCATCTGCAAAAGAGAAGGGCATCAGGATGGCTGTTTATAAAGACTCCAAAAACCCTGATACAATAGCAGTGCCTTTTAAATTTGTGCAATATCCAGACATTTAATTTGCTGCTACACAATGATATCCTCACCCTATGAAACACCCACGACCCCATAGTACCAAGTATAAAGTGAATTCGTGTGTGTGTGTGTGTGTGTGTGTGTGTGTGTGTGAACCAGATATTCCTGACATACCTTTGGATGTATTTCAAAGATATGAATTGAGTATTATTTGAGTAATTGCATACTGTTCTTCCTTGTCCCCAGAGCATATATTTTATATTGAATACTAAAGCTGGGTTTTCTTAATTTGAAAAAATTCCCGTGTCTAAACCCTCACAATAAACGAATCATTGTGCAGTAGGAGGACATCAGGCAGGTAAATCAAGATCATACATAATGATATCCCTTTGCCCTTCTCCCAGAAAATAAATTCAGAAACAAAATCTTGAAAAGAAACATAATTAGAAGTTATTTAAAGTAAATAAAACTAATAGTATCACTTTAAGTATAATATTAAGAATAATTCTATAAATTATAATTTATACAAAAAGGATTGTTCAGGCTTAACATAAGCAAACAACGTAATCCATAATATCACTAAAAAGCCAGACACTTTTAAAATAAACTGATGTTGAGTTATTAATACAAAGCCATCTTTTTCTTTCTTCTCTGAAATAGCATCAGTTATTTTTTAATTTCTTCAGATCTTTGAAAATGTAATGCAGAAAAGAAAAAAGAAGAATTTATTGCTTTGTAAGTTTTTAAAGATAAAACATAAATGTTCTCTGAGACTTAAAATATACCATGCTTTTTTATGACCTAATTTGTCTTTTAAAGATATAGTGTGTAAAACCCTGGCCAAATAACTTAGCAAAGGAAGTCAATATACTTTTTTGATTGGTCATTTTAATTCATATAGCTAAATATGTACCACAATCAAAAGTTAAATTACCTGATAAGCCTATAACCCAGTCTTGTGAAAGAGTCAAAAATAGCCAATATGGTAGATAATAACAACAAATCCAAAGCTGACTTGCTGACTTACACTTTAAAGAAGTTGATTAATATTATAAACCCCAAACACCAAAGTTTTCATAAATTAATAAGTAACATTTAACAGGTATGTGCTATTTACTAGGCACTGACTTAGGGATTATATTTACAAGATCTCATTTGATCTGTGAAACAATTCTGTGAAATGATTAATAATAATCATGAGTATCTGATAGAGATATAACCAGAATATTGCATTTATATATTTAAACAAATTGGCAACCATAATTAAGTCTCAATAGATATTTGCCCAGAGGATGCCTCATACAAATCAACTTTATGGTAGCTTGGCCCCAAGTCCCTATACTGTTCTATCCCTACGATCTGATGAAGCAGGTTTGCTCCTGGCCTTGAATATCCCTGGACCTAATCCTCTTTCCTGCTGGGCTTTTCCAAGCAGACCATGTCCCCCTGCTCCAACCTATCACGACGATATCTTGAGATGGAAGAGAGGAATGCTAGGAAGAGAGGTCCAAGAGATAACAGTCTAAAGGAGGAATACTCTGTGCCCACCCAATGCTATAATACTCACTCTGTCTTCCCACAAAAACTGCATCCCTTTCCAGTGTAACAACACTATACCCTTGATAACTCCTGTCCTTCCCTCACGACTGAGACCCTTCCTGAGGTAGAACAGTGAATGGAGAGTGAGTTAAGGCACCTCTGAACTCTCTCTAAAGGCTAGAGTTTATGGCCTATTATATCCATTTTTTGGAAGTAAAAATGAACACTTAGGCAACTTAAGTTCCTGAAGTTTCTAGCTAGTAAACAGTTAAGCTGAGATTCAAACTAAGATCTAGCAGATTCCCATATCCAATGGCCTGGAAAATAAATTACCATTCAGATAAAAGAACAATCTACATTTCAAAGACAAGCAAGTAAACCCTTTGTGGGAGGGGACTTGTTTTCTTCTGTTTATGACTGTTCCTGGAATTTGGATAAGTGGACTAAAAAAGGTTTTTTTCACCACCATGAAGCAAGATAATACCAAGAGGAAATAAAACTTGGCATTCTGTTCCAATGTATTTTCTTTTTCTTCCTACGCTACTTGGATCCATAGTCCTTTACAACATAACAGGTTGGTTTGGATGACAGTAATGGGTAAACAATGTGAAAGGAAGGAGGAATTCAGAAATAAGGAAGTTTAGAATTTAATTTGAAACTTGCTGAAGAAGGCTAAAGGGTGTGATTATGAAAAGAAAATTGAAAATAATCAGCCTATTGTGGGAAAAAAGGTTCTTTAAATCTCAGTCAAGAGGCTTTTGACCATATTCATGATAAATAAGAGTTTTAGGGGCATAATATTATTTAAAGTTTTCTGTGAATATTATTATTAGGTTATCATCCCCTCTCTGGTTTCACCAAAATGACGATAATACAACCCCAAAATGCTTTATACTGTCCAAGTCCTCTAGTGATAAGCAGTGACTTTCCTAAGTAAAAGAAAATTTAGTTATTAGCATATAAGCTTTGTATTTTGAATAATAGTTCTTAGCATCATGATAGTTGGTAACATCTTTGCTAAGAGTTGTCAAAAGGCAACTTGCTTATTTCAGTGGCCAAACTCTAAGGATTACTCAAATCAAAGAGAATGAGAAGTTGACATAAAACCTCATGAAATGCGTATTTGGTAGACTGATGGCACGGCCCAAATCTGCAATGGCTCCCAAAGCCACACCCTGCACTGTATCCTTTCCTCCCACCTGACTCTGGGTAGGGACACATACCTTGCTTTGGCCAATGGAGCAACTGTACATATAATATAAGCAGAGACTTGAAAAGCACTTGTGCATTAGGGCTTGTTCTCTTGCTGCTCTTGCAAACTTGCTGCCATGTGAATAAGCCCAGACTTGTCTGATGGATGATGAAATACATTACTCAGCTATTTGAAATTGTAGGTTTTATTATTTTCCAAGTTTGATGAGGCTAACAGATCAGGAGACAATTGCCATTGAAAAGATAAATTGTTATAGATCCCAAGAGGAGGAGGACAGGGGAAACACCAGGGTTGGTTAGGAGGCAGAATGAGCTGGGGAAAAGGTAAGCAAGAGCCTTTATTGTGATTTCTATATGAAGGAGTAGGAGAAACAGGGTAAACAGGTTTAGGAGTGGCTAGTTTGAATCATTTCAGCAGCTTCTAGAGCATAGGAACTGTCCCTAGTCATCTGGTCCTGGTGTGAAAAGTGCCCCAGAGCATGAGAGCCTAATAAAGATAGTGGGGGGTGGGGTTATGGCTGTGGATTGTTTGGTTTGCATATGAAGGCCATGTTGACTATCTCTAAGATTTAGCTAAACTTGGGAAGGGCAGTTCCTCCAAGGTCAGAAAGGTCCCAAGATGTCAAAGAATCAAAAGCAAAAATAAAACAAAACAAAACACACCCAAAATAAAAAGGCATGGTTAATACACCAGCCATTTCTGTCATCTTAGACAACAGTAAGCCTACTTCCAGACATTTGAGTGAGGTCATCTATGACTAACCAATCTTAGGCCAGTATGCCTATTGACCCAGCCAAGATTAGCTGAGGCTGCCCAGATCAGAAGAAAATACCCACTAGAATCATGAGCTAAATAAATGGCTGTTAGTTTAAGCCATTAAGTTTTGGAGTGGTTTCATATTCAATGATAGATAAATGATTCAGCCTGTAACCCAGTTTTCAAAGAAGAATTAATACGCTGTTCACAATACATTCTGACAATGCAGTGTTTATATTTTCATATCTGCAAAGATAGTAATTGTGTACACCTATAAGTGTTGTGAAGACTTATTAAAATAGTAGAAGTATGCCAATGGCATAGAACACATTAAATGTATGCTTATGTTATTTCAACAATTTTTAATCTAAAGGATTTCATTTTTACAAATAAATGTAGTAGTAGTGATTATATTAAACACTCAGTAAAGATTGTTATTTTGACATGGCAAATATATGGGATTTACTTCTTTGTTTATGCTTGTGTATTTTTAAAATATACTTTGGAGAGGATTTTTGCATTTTCTTACTATTTATTTAGATGTAATTGAGGCAGAGTATATAGATTAAACTGTTTTCATAACTTGTCCTATTTAATTTCACACTTCTCTGTTGATAAGTGTATATTTCATGCCAAGGTATAGAATTAAATATGTGTGAATTTCAATCTGATAGTTACTCAAAGCATCATTAGCATTTCAAAGAAATGTCAGAAAAAGTATCAAATAGTAACTAGTTCAATTTCTTTTTACCCATTTTTGCCCCTGATCTTTATCACCCATATAAATACCTGAATAGCAATAAAATCCCAAATTTCATGTTAAGATAAAAACAAATAATGGAAAATGAGTGATTTTTTTCTTATATTATAAATCATAACTTTTGTCTATTGGGTCATTTTATTCCTCTTTAGAATATAAAAAATTTCTCCATTTCCAGGGATTTGAGTGCTAATATTAATAGAAAATCTGTGATGTTGGTTGTTATTTTTCCTCTCTCATTTGTGACTTATTTATTTGGGTCCTTTCTCTTTTCTTTTTGATAAATTTGACTGGAGGTTTATCAATTTAATTAATTTTTTCAAAGAACCAGCTCCTGGTTTCATCGATCTATTATTTGTTTAGTTTCCATACCAGTTATTTCTGTTGTAATATTTATTATTTCCTTCCTTCTGCTGTCTTTAGGCTTCATTTGTTGTTCTCCTTTAGATATAAGGGTAGGTTGTTTATTTGAGATTTTACTTGCTTCTTGAGGTAGGCCTGTATTGCTATATACTCCCCTCTCAAAACTGTTTTTGCTGCATTCCACAGGATTTGGGCCATTGTGTTTTAATTTTCATTTGTTTCCATGTATTTGTTTTTATTTCTTCTTTGATTTCCTGGTTGACCCATTCATTGTTTAGTAGGATATTGTTTAATCCTCATGTATTTGTGGTC